GAATTGCAAATTATGTGATCTGATTGGCTAATAATCACATGTAGATCTACAAATTGATCTACGAAACTAGCCAATTAAATGAATTTCAGCCCATGAGTGGAGATCTGTGTAACCTAGTCCGGATATCGATTAATCACATGATCCGGAAATTCTCACCTACACCCTGTATTCGTCGAACACACATACAAGCAAGAAGACTAGGGGCAATGGAATTAATGATCTTACTTCTTCAATATCCAATAACGCGATCAACGGTCTCTGTTTAATACTTACCCTCTGCTTCCTCAAATCTACGCATTAGAGCAGTAAAACCTATACATCTACAACTAAGAGCCCTTGAAAACGACAACGACAATGATGAAGAGAAACCCTACTGGGACGATGCGATAGATAAATACTTTAGCCGCCCGAAAACAGATGAGTTCAAGATCATAACTTACCCTGAATACTTTCGAGACTATAACCTAAAAATTACACCACCATCACAATCCACGAGACGATCCTATACAAAAGACCAAAACAATCGTTACGTAATTAAAAGAAAAAAGCTCCTTTTTCTAAGATTCGTAAACTACAAAGTAGAAGATAGTAAACTTTAAATTTTAACTCGCAACGTCAAATATTATATGTTGCTTTATAACAACAATAACAATTATGAACTTGACGATTGCGATTTCGAACCTAAACTATCAGATTAATAACAATAATAATAGTGATTATATAAAAATCTAAATGAATGTAAACTATCATTTTTATTAATCATGCCATACCTTAGGCGAGCCATTCTTCTTTCAACATCTTATAATGAAAATTCCATGCTACTCAGAAGAAGAACTTCTCGAAAACCATTCGACCTATCTCGAAAGATTCAAATCCCTATATCCTGACCAATATGAACGAGAAATAAACAGATTAACCAACACCACTATATCTCAACAAATCCGAACCTCAACTGTGTATAAAGAAATCGTGAAAAATATACTTACCAACCTGAATAACATGGAACTTCACAAAATAATCCTCAACCAACTAATTTCGCTAGAACGCAAGACACCTTCCATCGATCCATATTTTACACTGATGCTAGACGAAGACCAATATCTAACTTATGATCTTCTTTGTAACTCCTGGGGACCAGAACATCAAGGCAAATATCCTTACTTCTTCCTAACTGGATCAGCCGGTACAGATAAATCGTACCTGTTATATATAATCATCAGCCTCTTAAATTCGAAAAAAATCAATCACGTCGTAATTGCGCCAACTGGTGTAGCTGCACAAAATGTTGGTGGAAAAATGATTCATTCTGCACTAAAAATAAGGCAGACCCATTCACATTATAAGACCTTGGCAGTTCACGATCCAAATACAAAAGAAGATCTAAAAAAACTCGAAGCCATAATAATCGAGGAAATATCTATGGTTTCTAATGATTTATTCTCATTCATAAGCAACCTATTCGGCTCAATTCACAATAACTCAAAATTATTTGGAGGAATTCCCATACTTCTAGTAAGAGATCTTTTCCAATTGCCACCAATAAATGCCCAACACGTATTTTACTCTCCTGTTTGGAAAAGATTCTTTCCGCTGTTCCTAACCCAACCTAAAAGGCAAAAAAACGATCCTAGCTTTTACAATCTACTCCAAGAATTATGATATAATTGTCTTTCCGAAACATCAAAAAAGATGATCAAGGATAAAATTGACACCTCCGATCTCAGTTACGATGCTATCTCCTCTACTTATCTTGTAGACATACGTGAAACTGTCAAAGAAATTAATAAATTAATTTGCGATAACCTTCCAACCAACGAATATGGAATCGACTCGATAACCTCCAAAGCCATTGACACCCTCAACCATAACCTACTTAACACAAGTAACAATAACTACTTAAACTTTAACCGCTATACAAACTTACCCAATGAAGTAATCTTAAAAGAAGGTGCAAGAGTTATGTTCCTAAACAATAAACTATTCGACCACAACATTTGCAACGGTACAATCGGTGTGATCACAAACATAATAAATGACCATATCATTGAAGTCACTTTTCCAACCACGACCAATATCATCAAGCTGAACCTACAAAAAGAGATGACCTATTTTGACATCAATGGAAACCCGGCATCTAGATGTCAATTCCCCATTCAAAACACTTTTGCATTCACGATTCACAAAACCCAGGGATTAACTTTGCCTCACACAACAATAAACGTGGACCAAAAAATATTCGCAAAAGGTCAAGTCTATGTCGTGATGAGCAGAGCTCTAACATGAGAATCCATTAACATTATCAACTTTGATTTTACCGCTGTTAAAACAAACAGATCAGTAATAGAAGAATACGCACGACTGAGCAAAATACATAGAAAAGGATTAGCACATATGCTAAGAAACTAAATAATCCTCCTTTTGTGTTTGTACTTACTATCTCTTAAGAGTTACACTATCACGTTTAAACTACCATTTAAAGTTGATGCGTTCATCTCTAAGATTAAATTTACTTTTTTAATGCTTCTAATATTAATAGTCTATAAAAATATCAAGAACACGATTTATACGTTGTATAAATCGATGATTGATTTAATAAAATGCGTGATGTTACACGATTCATATACTATCGCCTAAATTAAATTGTTACACAAACTCCCTGCGCTTCGCATGCGTTTAACTTGTTATAAAATTATAAACCATTACTGCATCAAAAAAGTAACCCTAACTGCATAAAAAAAGTAATTCTAACGCACCTTGCTTTAGCCATCCCCTTTATCGGGATTATGTTCTTACAATCCTCTTTTAATGGCGATCTTTTTTTTAGCCAACCAAATCAAACTTATTCAAATACAAGTACCGCGTGATTTTTTCTAAAAATTGACCTACATTATAGAAATAAAACAAAATGAGTAAGATTACTAAAGCGATGGAGTCGTCCTCCGACGCCGTGGATGCTGCAGTTTTGCGTATTGCAGAACTACTCAGATCACCTGATGACTTAGTAAAGACCAGTCTCTTACGTAAGAGGCTTGCGATAGAAAAAGCTACCATTGATGCTCAACTAAAATCTGGAGTAAAAACGCAACTAGATAATACCCAAGAAGGTATTGACAAGCTAACTTCTTCTAGAAAACAAATGTTCATCATAAAAGAAAATATGCAAGCTATCGATCGCTTATGCTCAGAAGCACAAGATATGATTCAACATTTTCCACGGATTAATAAGGTGACAACAGATAACTTCATAATACCTATTTATAAAGGGTAGATACTCGATTATCCAATATGTCCTGACATAAGATGTTTATTTTGCATAGATTTCTCAAATACATCGCAATTTTGTTGCTACACAAGAAACTGCACAAAAATTACAAGAAATGTATTCGACAGTTGATCAAATACAAAACCTGTTACAACAAGATAAACAAAATATAATGGGACCTGCAGAGAATTTACTGTTTATTCATTATCAGCTTTTCAGACTCCAAGAATTTCGGGATAATACTATGCATCAGGCAAAAAATACATCACAAGATGATGTCATACTCATATTAGAACAATATTTCAAAAGGTTAGATGAATTGTCCAATGAATTTGTTGAATATCTTTGGACATTAACAAAAAACATGATTGAATTAGTCAAGGTGGGCCAAGGATCTGTGATAGTACGTGTAGTTAAAATTATCGAAACGGAGGAAAGAGCGGATGAAAGAGCAACAGCAGCAGAACATGCACGATATAGTCACCAAGACCTCGCTACCAAATTTAAATCAATTCAAGCAAGTCCACGTGTCATTAGATCTTATAGGAGCCAATTTCAGGATAAGCTGCATGATTCTATTTCTGAATTATTTGAAAGGTTTTATAATGAGTTTCGAGACGATCCTATGAGATTATTAGACGAAATGGAATTTATTTATGATCATCTTGAATTAGTTTTTCAAGAAATTGTCCCGCGATTTCCAACCAAATATAACATCTTTTCCGTTTTTGTTTTGGCATATCATCGGCATGTGTATAATATATTTGATAAAATCGTCAAGTCTGATCCGGATGCTGGAACAATCCTAAGATTAATTAGATGGGTTCGTCAGTATTATAAGAAGATGAATAAGGATTTCCGTATTTCTGAAGATATTTTGGAACCTCCGTTACTTGATGGAAATGAACAAGAATTGATTAATGATTACCTCAAATTGATTCGCAGAAAGCTTGATGAATGGATGAGAAATTTGATGAATGATGAAACGAGAGATTTTACGGAGCGTAATAAAGCTCCAGAATTAGATTCTAACTTACTATATGGCCTTTCTGGTTCGGTAATTATGTTTCAAATGGTGAATCAACAAATAGATGTTGCTGCACAATCAGGACAAGGTAAAATTTTATCAGATGTAGTAAAGGAGTGCGCAGATGTTATGGCTGGGACCCAGAGAACCTGGATGAGTTTACTTAAGTCGGAGTTGAAAAAGCAAGTCGATAAACCGGAAGAAGCACCTCCTGGATTTGTTGAATACGTAATTGCATTGGCTAATGATCAAATCCGATGTGCTGATTTTACTGAAGCTATTGTTAACCGGCTGAAACCTTTACTTTCTGAAAAATATCGGAATCAAATTAATGCTGATCTAAACTCAACCACGGATGGATTTTTGAATGTTGCTCGATTAGCAAAAGACACTTTATTAGATGTGGTATTCAATGACCTTAAACAACCATTCAGTCAATTCTATTTACCAGTATGGTACCAGGAAGATCCAATGCTACTTATCATTGAAACAATCAAAGATTATACTAATGATTTTCAGACTCATATGAATGAATATCTTTTGGATAGATTAATGTCCAATACTTTAGAAAGATTCATTATAGCATACATTGAAGCTATGCGAAATAAAGGTGCGAAATTTAAGAAGCCAGATGTGATGATAAGAATACGAAAAGATGTCGAAACTGCATTTACATTTTTTCAACAACACATTCCTTCTCATGAATTAAAAGGTACGTTTGACACCTTAAGTAGGATTCACCAATTGCTAGAAAGTTCTCGCAAAACCATCTTCTTAGATTATTATGCATTGAAAAAAATTTATGGGGACATACCAATTGGATTTATTGAAGACATTTTAATAAGAAGAGATGATTTAGAAAAATCCCAAGTCAAAGAAATTATTGAAACTATCAAAGCTAAAAGTAAAGAAGCAGGGGAGTTTAATGGAAAACCGACGATTTTTAGCAAGCTTAATTTTTAAAATAGACATGTATCGTTTATTGTACAATAGATATATATATAATATTTTATTTAACATAGATAGTAGTATAAAATTAGTAATATTTAATTGAGGCTTTAAAATAAAGTGATAAAAATATACACAATATATACAGTTTTGTTATTTGATTAGTGTTAAATGTTTTATTATCAATTGATTTGTTTTGACTAATAAAATTTAGTGCATACTATTATGGGACTCCTACAAAAAATTCAACATTTGATAACAAGATTTAACAGATAATTAAATTGATTATACAATAAACTCCAAACAGAGCCAAGGGTGGTAGGCCATGGCGTCAGGCGTAATTTGACTTTGCATCTTGTGTAATTTTTTTTTTTTGTAGTCAAGGTTAGCCTCTTTGGCTCACCGCTTTTTATTAGATATTAGGATCATGTGGTGCCCTTTTCAAGGGGGCCCCAGACAAGTACATTCTGACGAGAGTACATTCTAGCCATATCTGCGCCTTTTGAGCGCCTAATTAAGTATCTACCTATTACTAGGTTTTACACTAGATGTCATACCTGTAATCCAAGTTTCCTATGCCAATCCATCTAACCTCACCCGGAACATGTGATACATTAGTCAGTTCAAATTCCAAGATTGTCGCAAGTTACCTATAGGACTACTGGTATGGTTAACCGGTTCATCCTTGAGTACATCACCTGCTAGAGCTGTCCGTCATTCACTTTTTAACATATAACCTAGTTTTTTTTCAGATAGATATTATCAGATAGGTTCTATACTTTTACAGGCAGGCCACATCACCAATCTCTACCAAAGATAGGTAGCCAGATAGGTTCTAAATTTTTACGTGCAGGCTACACCGCCTAACTACCTGGTCCTTGCAAAGTTTATCCAAGCCCCAGTATCCTTTTTTTAAGACAACTTGGTATCTTTTCTTTTAGTACCCCTAGCTGGTCTTTTCAGATTACCAATTCAGATAGTTTGGAAAGGACATCAGTTTTTTCCTCCAGTCGATCTAACAGCCTGGTTGGTGGAGTAACTTGCTGATATTTTTGCCTTGTTCAGTTCTTCAGCCTCAGGTGGAGTCTATTCTGATAGGTACCGTCAAAAGTTAGTGCTACCTTTCTACTTGGGTCTTGCCAAGCAGCTTCCTATAGCATCATTCATCAGATTAATATGATCCTGAGAACTTATTATAAGTTTATACCATCTTAACGGTTTTGTATTCTCTTTGTGCAATTCATACATTACACAAATGCTCTAAGATCTTCCTTAAATCAACCTAATAGTGCAATAGATATTTATCCTATATAAGGTATCATTAGCAAAAAATATATACGAAATATTGCAAAAGAATTTGCAGCGTCAAAATATTTTGAAATTATTGCAATCGACATGAAATATTTCAAAATAAATAATTTCAAAAATTTTGAAAATTATTTTAAAATATTGCGAAAAAATTTGCAATAATCTGCGAAGAGTTTAATTATATAGCATTTGAAAATATTTCTAAATATTTCGAAATATTTTGAAATTATTCGAAATTATTTGAAATAATTCAGAAGAATTTGAATTAAATGAAATTTAGAAATATACTATTTTTAAATATACGAATTTTATTCTATTTGTTATTTTTGATATATTTTGAATTATTTTGAATTTATTCAAATTGTTTATTTACTTTTTTTACAATTAATACTTGTCACAGATCATAATTTAAAATGAAATTTACATTTTCTATTCAATCTTCTAACCTTCTAAAATCTACTTATACTTGTTTAATATATTTTACTCTAATCCTAACTTCTAATTCTAACTCCTAATCCTAAAAAATATATACTAAAAAAATTTATTTTTCGAGATTTTATATTATTATTTCATTTTAATCTGAATTTCATTTTAATCTGTCACAATACTTATACTGTATTTCTCTAATCTTTCGAATATTATTAAAATATATATAATAAAAGCAAATTTATTTATTTTTATTATTGTAATATATAATATTAATAAAACAAAAACCAAATTTTCAAATTTCTAAAAAAAAATAAAAGAAAAAAATTAGCATTATTTAAATAAAAAAAATTACAAATTATATTCAATTTCTTGCTTTTTGTTGGTAATATCTAAAATTTTTGAAATTCAATAATATTTTATAGTTTTATTTATTATATATTAAAAATTGAATTAATATATATGTACCCTAAAGGTACATTAAAATTTTTTGTATTTGTGTTTCTATATAATGTAACAATCAGAGGGTATATAAATAATAATTATTATATTTTTTTTTTATTTAGAGCTGCCGTTATAAGTGTCGTATATCATTGTATTGTTAGAGTCCTTGTTATAGTTTTTGGCATTGTTATTTTGTAGTTTCACATCATTGTGTTACAGATAATTTCTTTGTTTTATGTGTTATTGTTACTGGTATTACTATAGGTATGAACTTCTGCTGATTTTCCAGATAATTTTGAGAAAAAAAAAGCATTAACAACTGTGCTTTATAAGAACATTAGGGATGTGATAAAAATCAGGTAATTTTTTAGGGAGGGTGGGAATAAAAATTTTAAATTATATATAAGGACCTGATCAAAATATATATTAAGAGGGGGAGGAGGGTAAGCTTTTGATAAAAAAAAAATCAGGTGATAAATGACACTGCCCTTATCTTATTAACAATAAGCTTGAAACAGAAATAGAAAAATCATTAGACAAAAACCTCATGTAGTTGTTTTAGGTTAAAGTGCCAACAGGTCTACTTTGCAAAGTATAATGAGATCAGGTTGCAACATCACTCTGGCTTTTTTAGATTTTTGTAAAAATAGTATAGCTGTATTGTAAATCATCGTCACATAGCATTTTCTAACTATGTACCAGGTTTTAGCACAAATGAAATTTTTTAAAGTTATTTATATTAGGGTTGGTGTCTATATTAAGGTTAGTTAATAGCAAATATATTATAAGATCACACAAGAAAAATGTTTTGTTAAAGTATTTATTATGCATTTTTTCAAGTAATAGTTATTTTTGATATAACAAATATTTGTTTTGGAATTTTCTGATTGTGTTATATTATGCCTAATCTTGAGATTAGATTTATAGTTCAAGAAAGTTGCGCTACAGATCTGGTATATATTCAAAGAGTGCATATACAAAACCCTATAATAGTGGATTTGCTATATACTTAGATGCAAACTAAGGTTCTTATTTATCAGACTGTATTTCTAGTTATATACTGAAAATATATACAAAGTTGTGGCACAGACAAAATTCTTAAAATTTGTTAATGTCAGGGTTAGAGTCAGAATCTAGAAAGGAGTAGTTGATATAGTAAAATTGTTCAATGAATAACTATGAAAGATTTTTTAAGGTTCTTGATTTATTTCACCTAGAAGAGGTGATTGAAAAATGGCTCAAGCTTCAATAAAAACTTTTTGGTAGAGCACAAAAAGTGGTTTCTAATACTAATTTTTGAGGTATGAGCTATTTTTGATAGAACAAACATTTTTTTTTGAATCTTCCTGATCATTCTAACACTGCGCTGAAAGATTTATGCTATTTTTTGATTATAAACAGGAATATGTACTTTGTAAGAACTTTATTCAACATTTTTGATTCAGATTTGATAATTTCAAAATCAAGCAGAGAGAAAGCATTACAATGTAATATAACAAGTTAGACCTTTGGTTAACTAGCTACAATACTTGACTAGGTGTACGAATAGTTAAGAAATGTATTTGTATAATTTATGATAGAAATAGTTTATAGATAAAATAGATTATTGTCGACTTATTGCTAATGCGACATTCACAAAGAAAGGTTATAACTAACA